AGACCTCAAAAATGAGAATCCTGATTTCCCTTCATGCGTTCTCAGGTGACCCTTATTAGTAGCATGTTTTCTCTTCAGTGTTTATCGATCTCAAGATGATGATACGGCAATGTTTGACAGAGTAGCAATGATTGATGTCTCCGTTTATCACACTTGCGAAGATTTCAGCATTCGTCACAGGGAGTGGCAAGTCCGTTCAAGCAGAACAGACTAAGAGGGGAAATAAATTTATCATTTCGCAACGAGCTAATCCAGATTGTTTAAAAGCCTACTTTTATTCCCGAGACGGCTGGAGATAATGCTCATTAGACGTGTCCATTGTCGAGTACCCCGATCAATGTTCCGCAGAGTTTTTGCCTGCCGTGGGAACTTCAGGCCATCCTTTGATGTTTGTCAAGGTTGATGCGAATCCAAAGACCTCCTCAGATAAGCCGTTTCTCTATCGATATGTCAAAGCCATCCAGATCCTTTCTTGCGGAAGCACCTCTTGGCTCTCTTTAAAACCGGACCGTCCAAGGCGGTCTCCTTCAGTTCCGAGGGTATTCTCCCCAGCATTGAAAGCTTCAGCCCTCACAGTAAGTACCAGCAATAGTCAAATAGTCAACGCTGGTTCGCGCTACTCTATCGGTATTCCCATGGAAAATGTTCAGATGAGCTATCTTCAAGGTACACGAGATCGAATCATCGTAGTCCATTGTTAAGGTGTTCCACTCGAACAGCTTATTCATACGAAATATTATTTTCCGGGACGGACTCCCATGAGGATGATTCCTCGATCGCTACAATATTAACCGATATCCATTCTACATAATCTTATAAGCAGCACTTACTTTCCGCTCTTGTATACACCTAGCAACTTCACGCATGTGTTTCTCAAGCTTTGTAGGCGAATATTTAGTAATAAAACTATAGACGGTGATGATGTTTATGATAGTAGTGATTGCTGTGGTGATTATTATGATGATTATGTTGTTGATATTGGTGTTCATGATGAAGATGATTTCATTTGCTTGTTATATTTTCAGGCAGACTGACATGGCTGCTTCAGCCTAAGAATACAGGGAAATAATTACTCAATGCTCAAAGTAAAGCTACTTTAAATGTAACTTATTTAAAATGAAGAATTCTTTACAGTTTCATTTGCATTTTTTATTTTGCCTTTTATTGCAATTTCTTTTCTGATTTCTAATCTCTATTACATTTCTTGATTTCTGTCCTTTTTTTTAAAATTCTTCCTCTCCTAATTTGGTCTCGCTTCTTAAAGGACACAAACTCATTTTCCTTATCAAGTCATTCCCCGAAATATGATTAGATTCCATTTTCATGAGCAACAAGAATTTATGCAGAGAATCACCGGGTCGAAATCACAATCCAAATGTGATAGAGGAAAAAACTGATCCCAATCAATCTAAAGACCTTCCTGAAAGACACTCCTTGGCTTATTAGCAGGAATAATTTGTCTTAAATATAATCTTTTTTAAAAATCGGTATCACCCTATGCAAGGCAGTAAAGCCACTAAGACACAAGGGGGATACAGGTTGTGAAAGAATTAAGAACGGAAACTTTAATAATGAACGGGAAGAGGAAATAGTAATCGACAGTAGATAACGATTGACATTGCATTTTAATTAATTTTTTTTCGGGGTGGCAGCACTTGTTATGGTCCTAACTATGGGCAAATAGTGATTCCTTAATAAAAAAGCACTATGAAAGTATCAAAAAAAAAAAAAACTATTTTAATAGTCAAAATACTAGCAATACATTTTTATATAAAAGACTGACAACACATAAACAGCAATACATTTTCTCTAGTTGAAGACATACAATTGTGTTCAAAATCTGGGAATAACACGCTACACACACACACACGCACGCGCACACGCACAAACACACAGCCACGGAAACACAAGCACACATATACATATATATAGTAACAAAGATTGTTTTGCTTAAAAACTAAAAAAAAGGTCGACCACTATATTTCTGGAGAAAAACGCGTTTAAGGCAAGCAATGTTTGCAATTAAAGTGCTTAATGTAAAGAGAAAGAGTAAATCAAATTACATTTTCAACTTATCTTTTAGAATAGGATTTTTGGAGATATGGTATCCACTTTCCAGCTAAGTAAACATTTACAGAATTCATATATTTCTTAAAACTTACTGTTTAGAAATACATGATTTCTGTAAATAATTCGCTTTTTAGCATGAAAACTACTTACGGGCGGATAAAGTACCAACGAAACTCCGAGTCGGGAATGATAAGCTGAATAATTAATTTTATTTGTTCATTTATATACAGCAAGAAACTAGCAAGCTGTTACTGGAAATTTAGGGAGAAACATAGCAAAAGTCCAGGCATTAAATAGAGCAGCTTAAGAAATTTAAAGACTAACATAATAGTCGAGAATACGCGTAGGCTATGCCAAGAAGAGAAACTGGCTATAGCAACATATAAAAACAGCAAATAATTGCTGAACGGGAGGTCAAAGATCATGACCACATGCAGACATTTTTATAAAGTTCAGATTTGGGTTCTTTGAACCCGGTTAATGTTTTTTCACCAGTACTTTTGGTTTCGAGAGTGCTTAAGTTGTTGAGCTGCGTGTAGCTGATTGGCTGAACAAATCACCTGACAAGACCGAGGAAATCGAAAACGCAGTAGTGTGCTCGGGTCAGCATTCATCCATTTTAAATATTAAGCAGGTCTGCAAGTCTGGCCTTCCGACTTTGTATTGAGCACTTTTAATACGTTAACAAATAGTTCATTATTTGTGTTACTCTGGCATTATATATATATATAATTTAAGCTCTACTTTTGTATGGAGCACTGTTTTTTTTTTAAATAAGAATAAAAACAAAAATACTAAATAACCCCGGATTATTTACCTAACGTGTCCTTTCCTATTTTTCTATATATCAGCACACACACACACACACACACACACACACACACACACACACACACACACACACATACACACATAGATAGATAGATAGATAGATAGATAGATAGATAGATTTAAACACCGAGCAAGGTGAGAATATCACTAGTACACAGAGCGTTACAGGGAATTAAAGTAAAAGAAAAGACTGGGTAAAGTGAGTATTGAAGAAAGGACAAAAGATGAACGGCATTCAAGAAGATAGAAGAGGGCGATTGACATGACATATTTAATTTTTTGAAGATTGTAGTTATCAGGGAAGCAAGTCAACGCAATATATATATATATATATATATATATATATATATATATATATATATATTATTTATTCAAAAATATGATTCCAACGCTACATAAGAGTTCTCATGTTTCAAAACAATAGCCGAAAACTTCAATATAATTATTTGAATTAAATTGAATTAAAGTACCAAGTTCTGTTCCATCTTCAAGCGAAATGTTTTTTGGGAATATATAATTCCTGAAATTTACGCGTTTTATAAGCATATTCATTATTAAAATTAAAATTACTATGGTAACGGCTAGAGCAATTATTTAAAGAAAAGGGACGTAAGGTTTAATAATTTGTATCAATATCTCAGTTACATTCACAGACGTCAAATCAGGGTATGCTTGGGGTGTCTAAATTTAAAGCAGAAGATGGCATCGTCTCGTCTGGTTAAGTGTCTATGGAGATTTATTTATTTTTTATTTTATTTTTTTTCTGAAAGGGTTTTGTGCATATAAAAAACCTGTCATAAGTCGCTAACATTTTTTTTTTTTGGCGACTTCATAAAGAGTTATCTTTTATATATATATATATATATATATATATATATATATATATATATATATATATATATATATATATAAATATAATAGCCGGCATCAAAGCCTCTGATAGACAAATTTGAGATTTTTTAGGAGTGTGGAACCATATATTAATTGCTGTTGTTCCCAGATCCATTCTGACTCGGAGTGGTAGTACCTGTTAGGGTCCTGGCTATGGGCAAATGGTGAATCCCCAAACAAAAACAAAGCACTATGAAAGTATAAAACTATAAATACTATTTTTTTGTATTAAAAATACTAGCAATACATTTTTATATAAAATAATGACAATAGATAATCAACAATACATTTTATCTCTAGTTGAAGGCATACTTTTGCGTTCAAAATAATTAGCTGAAGTCATAATACTGTGTCTAAATATTTCGTCATTAAATCACCCATAGATGTGTTGATATACCGCTAAACAAAACAAAATAATATATATATATATATATATATATATATATATATATATATATATATATATATATATATATATATATATGTGTTTGTGGTTTAAAAGTAGGCTTACACTTAGTAGATATTCACCTTACATTTTTCCAAAAACATTTTATTACATATATATTTGTTATAATTGTATTTGTTCAAAACTGTTTATGCACATTTGTTTAACGCTTTACTTACAGTTTTTATCACAATTTAATCTCTGGAGTGCTCAAAATGTCCTCCTTCAACATTGCAAAATTCCTCGAACCTCCCCAGACCATTATGACACGAAGCACGGAACAAATCCTGATCTGCATCAATTTCAGTAAATACTTCTGAGACGTACTCTTTTAATTCATCCACTGTGTGTGAATTTCTCTCATAAACCTTGTTATTTACTATAACCCTACAAAAGAAATCAATTGGTGTTAAGTCAGATGAACGTGGTCACCATCTGACGCTGCGTCGTTCTTCTGAACCAACGCTGTTGAAAGCTATGGAGTCCCTTACTGCCAAAGCATAATGGGGAAGTATTCCATCTTGCTGAAAGAACAGTTCGGCTATGTCAGATCTAAAACGTGAGACAAACAATAAAACATCTGTAAACCTACTTTTGGCCCACCCTATATATATATATATATATATATATATATATATATATATTTGGTTGGATTGATGTGAGTTTTTGACCCTGGGTTTCACGCTTTTTCAGTTTGTCTGACGATCGCAAAAGCGTGAAACCCAGGGTCACAAACTCACATCTATCCAAACAAATATGTTAGCTCTATCACTGATATGGAGCGCTTTCTAATAAGTACCGCGCATATAATATATAAATAATTATATATATATATATTTATTTATATTTATATACACACACTTTTCACACACACACACACACGCACACACACACACACAGACAGAGACACACACACATATATATATATATAGGGTGACATGTCTAATATGTCGCCATTTTATATTTAACGCACAGCGTTGTTTGTCTTATTTTGTCGACTGCAGAGTATAGTAAGTTCAGTTGTGCACAGTCTGTAAGAAAAAGGACACCATGGCGCAATTCACTCCGCCTTTCCTTATTGCTTGGCATTCACGACGGAAGCTCCAATATGAACATTTCAGAGTGTTTGTGTGTCAAGCTAAAGACCCTGCAGAGTCTAATGGTGATTACGAAGGTGTTTGGAGTGATCACTAGACATGGCGACGTTATGCCTCCATTAATCTTCCCACAGGGCCTCAGACTCAATACGGAAGCTTACATCAAGTGTCATGAGGAGGTAGTGCTGCCCTGAGTCAAGAGGATGCCTGCTGGAAGACCCTGGCAACAGAACGCTGGACCATGTCATCTAAGCAGGAAAACCCTATTTATGGATCTTTACATCTGTCGACCTAACTCTCCAGACTGCAACCCCATTAATTAATACGTGTAGGGTGCAGTTGAGCGAAAGACCAAGAAAACTTCTAACACCATGTAAGGCGAAGGCAAGGATTATGGCAGAATTCGCCAACTTAAACAAGGAAACGCTCTAGAAGATTTCGAAGGCGTCTGGAGGCCGTGGTTGAAGCCAATGGCAATTTCATTGAATAAATTTACTCTTTAGTATTTCGTTATATATTTGTGTAATTTTGGTAAATATATCTGTTAAAATAAGATGTCAGTGTTATTTTCATTTTGGTGTAATTTAGACAATTTATCGATCACACCTATATATATATATATATCATACTTATTATAAAACCCAGGTTGTGTGTGTGTGTGTGTGTGTCTGTACGTTTATATATTGGATCGGATTTCCTACATTTTTCAACCGATTTCAACAAAACTTCACAGGACTACGTAAAATTACTTTGCGGTGGTTCTGACAGCGCCAAAAATTGGAAAAACACAATTGTTTTTGCACGAAATCAATTTGAAAACACACAATTTGAAAAAAAGGCATCGCGAGAATGAAAGGGGAACAACTCATATCAAGTTATACTTATTATAAAACCCAGGTTGTGTGTGTGTGTGTGTGTGTGTGTGTGTGTGTGTTCGTTTATATATGGGATCGGATTTCATACATTTTTCAACCGATTTCAACAAAACTTCATTTTTTTTGGCAGGTAGTGTTTCTTATTGTCTTGCACAGTTTTTTCTTTATTTGTACATTCAGAATGCTTTAAAAATTCCATTTACAAGACAATTGTTTATAATAAAATACTATTCAATCGGTAGTCTCATAACGATTGAAAACAATGTTTTTGCTTCAGTTTGGGTTTGACCAATTCGTAAAAAAAAACTAATTAAGACATGCGTGTCCGTCAACCTTAAACAATAATCTTTGTTAATTTTATTTTTCTGTCTTTATGATGGTCGATACTTGATCTATCTCTTACTGTTACATCCCCGGGCAACGCCGGGCTCTACTATAGTATATATATATATATATATATATATATATATATATATATATATATATATATATATACTGTTTCGCTAGTTAGGTATGAATAATCTGATAGATACATAGATATATACGTCATAAACTGACAGATATTAGATGATAAGCCAATTTCATAAATTCAGAAAGTAAAGAGGAAATTATTCCTACGCACGATTCAGTTGATGATTCGTTTATATAATATTATCGCTAAGTATAATCCCCTTCGGGAGAGATTATGACTCACTAGATTAGATCGATTTTTCCTTCTTTATTTCATACGTTGTTAATTGGTTTTGTGGTCTTTCGTCTTTGCATTTATCGAAGAAATAAGCTATGACATCTGCTTCGGCTCCTTCCGACTTTTCTTGCCGCTATTCGCCCAGCACCGGCACATTTCAACTTTCGTCGATGGCTCTCTTCGCTTCCACGCAATTTTCTTCAGTACTACCGATTTAAAAGAAAATTTACGTCAACAGAAAAATTTGATCTAAAAGGAGTTGATCTGTGGTGGCCTTCATATGTAGTGGGTTAACGCTGCGAGATTTCGGATAGTTTTTTTTTTATTATTCGATGTCACATGAAAATGTAAAAAGAGATAGGTAGCATAGAGGAATGAGCTAGAAAGAAACTCACTTTTTTTAAAATTATTTCACCTCAAGCAAGGGGTTAATGAGTGTGAGAAAAATTTTCGGAAAAACATTATTAAGAAGAGTGGCCAATAAGAGAACAGGTATTAAGGAGACAGATGACGACGATTAACATTGGATTTAAGCTTTTAAGATCAAATCTGTCTTGGAGTAGCCGGAAAAGATTCCCACTAGTAGTCGGGATAAGAAACAGTTAACGTAGAACTGATGGATACATCAGACAATTTTAACTGTAAAAAGATGAGACCTAACTGTCCATCTAGTACTGCGACTGCACTTATATGACTCATACACACCAATATCGCCCACCAAATTTCCAATCACTCATCATGTTCTATTCAGTTGCTAATCGCCCACTGAACATTTGAAATCGGCCACTGGTGGGCGATATCGCTAAGTCTGGGAAACCCTGGTTTCAAATATTTTAAAATAGGGCTGGTAACACATGCCTCACCCTGGAAGACCGAGCCACAGGATGAAGATCTCTTTGAAAGAACATATTCAATTGGATCAATATCAAAGCACCAGATATTTGGTGCTAAAACTTAATGTATAATATTCAGCTCTCAACAGACATCATCAAGAGAACTGGGAAAACATTCAAAGTAGTAATTTCGTTTACTCATAAGATTCCGTTTGAGTATCGAAAACAAGATTCCACCATCTACCGGCAGTCTTTTAACAAACCTTTCATTTTTTTTATTCGCTTTGTTACAGGTGATGAAAAATAGGTTTTGCATGTCAACAAAATGCAAAAAATCAGAGGTTATCCCAAACTGAGACACTAACTTTTATGTTTGTTTATAATGAATTCACCCCAAACAAGGCATCAATGCTATTCGTACATTGGGGATTACGTAGAGTGAAGGTGATAGAAAAGACCGAGTATAAGGAAAATCAAAGAAAGGATAAAAACTAAAAAGGGTTCAAAAAGATTGAAGATGGCGATTGACGTTACATTTAAATTTTTAAAGTTTGTACTTATCATCTGGGAAGCAAGTCAAAGCAATATATATATATATGTGTGTGTGTGTGTGTGTGTGTGTGTGTGTGTGTGTGTGTGTAAAAGTGTGTGTATATAATATATATATATATATATATATATATATATATATATATATATATATATATATATATATAATTATTTATATATTATAGGCGCGGTACTTATTAGAAAGCGATCAATATCAGAGATATGCACATCTCTGATTGAGAAATTTGAGGTTTTTCAGGAGTGTCGAACCACCTCTTAATTGCTGATGTTACCAGGTTCAGCCTGGTGCGGGGTAGTAGCACCTGTTAGAGTCCCATCTATGGGGAAATAGAGAACACCTAAACAAAGATAAAACCTATGAAAGTATAAAAATGCATTTTTATGGTAAAATTATAATCAGTTCACCCCAATCAAGGCAGGAATGCTACTAGTACGTTGGGGGTTATAGTGAGTGAAGGTAAGAGAAAAGACTGGGTATGGGGGGGGGACCAAAGAAAGAATAAAACAAAACGGGATGCTCGAATATAGAAGATGGCGATTGACATTGTATTTAAAATTTTGAAAATTGTAATTATCAGGCAAGCGTGGAAACGGAAGGGAGTTCCACAGACGGGAAGTGCTCGAAATAAACTGATGGAGTAGAAGTGGCGGTTACATTTAACTAATTCAACAGATCCGGATGCCAATCTAGTAGCACACTTAAACACATCTCAGCAGGAAAAATACTAGTCAGTGCAGTTGCCGTGAAAATATTTGTAGAAAAGACAGAGGGAAGCCACTCTACTCTGTTAGAAAATGACTGATGTCGAGATACAAAGTTGGATTTTATCAAGAACCTCGAGATGAGTAGCAGAAGCACCAGACCAGATATGGCAACAGTATTCAATGCACGGACAAATGGAAGAATTGTATATGTGCAAGATAGACTTTGACGGGAAAAAAAATTCCCACATGACACGCTGACCTAGATGTCCTTGCAGCAGATGTAGCTATTGATTCGATGTAGTCATTTCACTTAAAAACCTGTAGGCCACGAAGCCGCAGTGTGTTTCTCTCCATGAGTCCAAAATCGGCCATGCTGATGGCTGGTAGGAAAGATTCTATATGGTGGTTAAATGAGAGCAGTTTAGTTTTGGAGGCATTAAAATTTACAAACCATTTCCTATCCCTGTTAACTGCTGATTGGAGGTTCTTTTCAAGAGCAGCGGCCCGGTTAATTTTTTCAACTCTGACGGATTTTCTATTGAGACAGAGTAAGTGGTAGTGTCATCAGCATAAATGCCTACTTGAGAACTGATGACATCAGGAAGATCATTAATGAAGATCAGAAACCAGGATATAGTCTTCGTGTGAAAAGATCTGGAAGCGAACCCGTTCAGAACGACCTTCATTTCACAAAGGATAAGAAGCTAGCCAGGAATCGAGAAATCAGGGGAGGGGATTGAAGAGTTAAGATTAGTTTCACAGAGAGCTAAGATGTCCGGAGATTTTTCGAAGAGGAACGATTCCACACGGCAGAAGTTTTATGAATACCACGAATGTTGGAGAAAGAAAGGTTAAGGGATTTAAGTGTTTTTGTTGTGCTGATTTACGTGTATATCTTTAGTTGTTTATAGTCATGTGTTATCTTGGGGGGGGAGCCCTACTGTAGTAGTAGCAGTCGGTGGTCTAATGTAACATGTGCAGAAAGGGAACTGGCGAAGAATGCAACATAGTGTGGCCTAGAGGTTGGCTACTGGAGGTGCTTCAGGGACACCCTTTCATACGCGATATGGCACTGTAAGAACCCCGATATTATTCGACTGTTGATCAGAGCAGCCTCTTAAGACGCTACGCAAGATTTCGGGCTCCTAACTACCAGTCGCGCGCAACAATCAGAAAACTGCCAATACGGTACCCTCAGAATGAAGAGATGACGCCACCATCCACATATATCATAAAAAAATCATGACAGCACAACTATTAAGACTTGAAAGAATTAAAGAAACCGGGAACCCCTTCGGAATCAGCAAACGAGGGATGACCCTCTACTCCTGTACAAGAGTATAGACCGGGTGATATTAAAGCCTATCTACTCCTATTTTAAAAAAAAGAACTAAGTTTTAACTTAGATAATAGTTTTCTTTTTTTAAATTAAAAAAAGCAGAGACCTACCCCTGAAAGTACTTTACAAGAAGACAAATAGTCCTAGGTGGTCCTCCATTTAAGTTATAACAGAATCTCTGGCCCTGTGGAATAATGGAGGCATAACGACGCCATGACTAGTGATCACTCCAAATACATTCGTAATAAAAAATTAGACCCATCCACCACTTTCCGAATCGTCTGCTTTGTCCTCAGCTTGACATACAAACATACTGAAATGTTCGTATTGGAGCTGTCGGTGCGAATGCCAAGCAGTACAACAGGCCATTTCTAAATTTCTGGCTGAGTAATTTGCGTCATGGTTCTCTTTTTTTCACAGACGGTGCACAACGGACCCTACACACACACACACTTATATATATATATATATATATATATATATATATATATATATATATATATATATATATACATACAAAGAAATAATCACACATAGAATCAATCAGAAGTATTAAAGCGATTATTGGCGACATCCATCGCTAGAAACATAATATATGTATTAAAATACTGTTAATCCATAGTGCGAGTTGATCCTCGTCGATAAACTTGATATCTGTAGTTTTCAGTTTATTTGATGTGAAAATGCTAGTACTTACGAATAGTCCTCTATTCATCATCAGGCATGTATTTTGTTCCTTATAAAATATATATAGAGAGAGAGAGAGAGAGAGAGAGAAAGAAAGCAAGCAATAATGAATATATATATATATATATATATATATATATATATATATATATATATGTTTTCAGGAATAAAAAAATATTGAGAAATTAAAAGATTAAATTTTTCAGACCCATTGGGTAGTATATTGATATTTTTTGTTTTATTATTTCAATTAGGTTCCTCCTCTAGTTTCGGGCCAGTATTGGTTATCATCATCAGAAAAAAATCCCTGCTGGCTAATAGCAGAGAACTACAGCAATGAATGACTTTCTGAAGAAAATGAACTTTATCTATAGTTTTCATTTGTTTTTTGTTTTTTTCATCGTTAATTTTGGTTAGTCCTTGTATTGGTCAAAATGTCGAGAGGAAAATTCCTCAGACCAAAAGTGATTCGAAGGAAGTCTAATTCATGGTCATTGGGCAGGCATTTGAAAGTGGGTCATTTCAAGAGATTGTGAGCACACCTCGTATGTACACACACACACACACACACACACACACACACACACATATATATATATATATATATATATATATATATATATATATATATATATAATGTAACCTTTTAACATATATGTAAAAATCTAAGTATATGCATATATATGATTAAGATCTGTGTAACAATTTTGGCTATGGATGATTTGTTTACCCTCGCAGGCCCTAATGATAGGTTGAGAATTTCCTTGTCCCTCCTCTAGAGGCTTTTTTTTATTTTCGTTCTTCTTAGCAGAGCTATGAATTTCTGGCTTTCTGCTTTCCCAAGTCCAAATTATTGGCATTGTGACATTGCTACCTCCCTGTGAGCGCCCAAGAGTTGGCCGGCAGCAACTGCAACAACGTTGTTAAGACCATTCAGTAAATATACCAGAAAGGAAAAATACACAAATGTGTACATATTAACTTTTGCTTTGTTCTTCACAACAAGCCTTGAGAATAAAAATGAAAAAAAAAAAGAAGAAAAAAGGTCACCCGTGGCTACAGCCCGATGATTCCGACGTTTCACCTTAACAATTGAGGATATCGGAACCATCATTTTGTATGTTAATAATCAGTGTGTCTTTCGTTTGATGGACAAAGTTTTGTTTGAAAGATTTTTGCACACACATGGGTGGAATACAAACGCCCATACTGGCCTGGATGGTGCTGACTAAAATGTATTATTTGCATCTAAATTGAAAAAGAAAACGTTATATTGTTTTCTATATAATTGTTTGCATTTGTAACTTACACGTACTTGTAAAATGCTTCACATTCCTCTCCATCTCTCTCCCTCTCTTGCTCATACATTCTATCTTTCTCTCTTACATTCAGTATCACTCTCTCTCTCTCTCACTCTTTATTTCTCTATCACATAGTTTATCTGTCTTTCTCACACTCAATTTCACTCTCACTCTATAGATAGATAGATAGATAGATAGATAGATAGATAGATAGATAGATAACGAACAGAATGTGATAGATAGATAGATAGATAGATAGATAGATAGATAGATAGATAGATAGATAGATATAGTGTAGACAAAGAAATCGACACTATATCTACGTCCACGGAGTGTATATCTGAATAAGGCTCCATATTCAAAATTCTCCCCCATAAATACAGCAAATTTTAAATAATATACAGCGTGGCAATAAAGTCCCTATACAGTTACTTACAATAACAATGAAGACAAATCAATTCATCAACAGGTCCAGTATTTTTTTTATTAAAATGATTCTGGTTAATTCTGGTTAATAACAATAAAACGCTATGATGATTTATAAGCTAGAGCCGTGAATCAGTTTCGGTGTCATGTGTATATTGGCTTGCTATTTTTCTGATTTTGCTTTGCTTTTTTTATTATAAAGAACTGTATAGTGACTTTATTGCTACTGTATATATATATATATATATATATATATATATATATATATATATATATATATACACTGTTTTGACGGCATATAAGGTGCATTTGTTTACTGAAAATATCTTTTAAAATTCCTTGCGTCTTATATGCCATATGTAGCTTTAAAATTCACGATCGTCAGCCGAAATTAGCTACCTGGCAACTCCTATCAGCTTAGACTTGAAGAGGCAATGGAACACGTGAATGGAAATGCCTGGTCACGACCTTATACTTACAGGAAGAATGAAAAAAGACCCAGCATTGCACAAGTCTGCGAATGGGTCTAATATTAGACCCGAAATTGTTATGAAATCTTTTAAAAAATGTGGAAGATGAATAAAATTTTAATGGTAACAGTACTGTTTTGCTCAATTGTAATAATTGCTTGATTTTTATTTTGTTTTCTTACCTTTGGATATGAGAAAGTTTTTATAGGCTCGTGTTCTTTTTTCCTATTATTTTTCGTTTAATTGTAATCATGGCTTGTTTAACCAAAATAATACCTCATAAATATAGCCTAGGCTGTACCATTTACTAATAATTTTACTACTTTTACTAAATGCTAATTTTTTCTTGATTTTCTCTGCTGAAATGGAGGCGCGTCTTATACAACCGTGCGCCTTATATACCGTTAAATACCGTAATCAATTTAAACATTATTTTTAGTAGATACCTATATTTGAGTAGACACTCTGTTTATTTTTAAATAGTATATTTATTTTAATCTACTGGCCTGAATGTTCGAGAAATCTTCTTAAAGAAAAATTTGCAACCTATGACAAGATTCAAACCTGCGTTCACATTTGCAGCAAATATCACCGTGCTTTAGACGGACTCAGCCACGAAGGGTATCGCAAATAAAGTTCCTATTTTCTCAGTTTCATATCTAAACGTAAAGAAAGCAATTTCTAAAGTAATGGATTTGTATTATTACCAATTTGTTATCACTTTAAACGTTATTTTTAGTATATGTTGTTCATGATGACGGTCGTCTTTGAGTATAGAATCCAGAGGTTAGCAGTGAATATTTCGAAGACAGTAGGAAAGCGTTGTTCAGGTTAGCAGTGGAAATTTTGGTAAAAGTAGCAGAGCGTAGTTCGTCTTTCTGTTTCTCTTCGCCTGACAAGCTGGAACTGGACATTCGGATAGAGTAAACAAAATGGCCGCCTTTATACACGACGGATTGTATATTCTACGTCTTCTGATTGGTTAACCTTCTATTGGTGGACTATAAAGTGAGTCAAGGCATTTTGACTGGCTCACTAGTTTTATATATACAGTATATGTCCATATTTACTGGCTATATAGAGTTCATTTTTCATTTACCGACCTGAATATTCGAGAAATATTATTGAAGAAAAATATGCAGCCATTGACAAGATTCAAAACTGCACTTTGCAGGTGAAACCGTCGTTAGATGCAACGTTCTTTAGACCGACTCTTCTAAGAAGGTCGTCATCGATCAAGCAAGGACGAATAATGGCTTTAAGTGCAATCACTCTGGTTAGAGATGGCGGTAGCATAAAACTCGAGTAGTACTCCAAACTTTGTCTCTTTCTGAGTCGTGACTCAGAGAAGCTAATTGCACTGTCTTGGTAATATTAGATATAGAGCACTGATTGTTACTGTTTAAAGAGATGACCGTCTTTTGGTTTATCATTCCTTTTGCCCTTTTTTTTCTTTATAGTTTTTTTTTTAGTTGGTTTAGTTGCTTGTTTCTTCTTTTTTATTACATTCTGACCTTTGCTCCCCTGGCAGACTTTGTGTTAGTTCTACCAAAATTTCTCATTTTGTATGCACACCCACACACACAGACACACAAACACAGACACACACACACACACACACACACACACACATATATATATATATATATATATATATATAATTTTTTTTTAATGTATAGCATAAATATGTTATAAAATCACTACAAAAATAACCATTTTGTTTCAACACCCTCGGTACATTCAACATCATCACTTGATAAAACACCGAGGGTGTTGAAACAAAATGGCTATTTTTGTAGTGATTTTATAACATATTTATGTTATGATTTTTTTTTAAATAATTATATCTGCTCTGCTTTGTATTGAGCAATCTTTTAAGAATAGTAATTGTTGGTTATTGGAATTCATTCCGTATACACCAATTATATACTTGGATATATATATATATATATATATATATATATATATATATATAGAGAGAGAGAGAGAGAGAGAGAGACTATTTCTGAACCACACTAGACAGATATGCATTCAAGTGTTGAGGTCTCCAACATACACACAAATATGTACACATACACCTCCCCCAAAAAAAAAAAAATGAAAGATGCACATAACACACACAAATCCTCTTCACAGCAACCAATAAAACCTTCAGAATAGCTAAAAAGGGGTAAAGGACTCTAAAGAAGTTTTTTTTGACCAATACAAGGACTGACCAAAAATTAACGATAAAAAGAAACAAGTGAAAAGTACAGGCAAAGTTCACTATATACAGAGACAGACATTCACCCCTGTAGTTCTCTGCTACTAACAAACAGGGTTTTTTTTTTTATCCTGGGGGTGGTCATGCTAAAACTAGTCGAGAAAACTAATTTAAACAATAAAGCAAAAAAAAATTAATATACAAACCAGTGTGTGTGTGAAATTTTAATATTTAACATTTTTAATTGTTCAAGATATATATATATATATATATATATATATATATATATATATATATATATATATATATATATCGGATTCCTTTCTCCGTTTCCATATCTGTTTCTCTCATTTAAGAAAGAAAAGAAAGAAAAACAGAAAGGGAATATATATATATATATATATATATATATATTATGAATGTAAATTTATGGAAGCAACCTTTTTTTTTAAAATTTTTTGTAAAATATGACGAACAAGGAAATTTTATCAACTTTTTATTAAATTTTTCCAGCGTTCTTACATTTTTTTTCCGTTTGACGGGAGTGGGCGAGTACAAAAACTGTCTCTATCGTCGATTGTCCCAAGAGCTTTCGTACATTTCTTTAGCTACTTTCAATGGGAGTTGATTTTGGTGTAGTTATTTTTATTTCATGTTTTTCACTGTGTGAATGTATTATTTGTGAATTATAGTAGCAGCGATTCTGAGCCATCGTGTGTTGGGCAAGGCTGGAATTCGAGTGGGTGACTTTCAATTTTGAAAAGACTTTCACCACTCCGTTACCCTTGTTAAACAAGGTAAATGTGATGCTGTTTGATTACAAGGTCTCTCTTACAACGAGTTGTTTTCTGGAATTTTATTTACAAATGACTCTCGTGTTATCGACTAATATCTTTCTTAAGAGCTCTTGTATATTATGAATTGACGATTTCTTTTTATAGAGCTCTGCTCTGATAAGTGACATGTGAGAGGTCTACTCAAGGAGATGCTTATATGTCCAATATAGGTAAGTGATGCAAGACAAGAAACTAATGTGCAATGAAAATGAAACACTATATTGGTTTTCGCCAGTTTGGACTTAATGGGGTTGCTTCGATTATTAACGACAAAGTTTACAGATTTCCATTTTTTGCAATACACGATTTGGGAAATTACAGCAGAAATCTGGTGTTAAATGATTTTTTGTATAACGAATTCATCCTGCTTATATTTATTGTGCATCTGGTTACCGTAAAATATGTTGATATTTTGTTATATTGCATTTCTATTACTCGTTTTGTGTATTTTTTGTAAGAATAATTTTTTTGGTTATCAATGATGTAGTTGAGAAAACTGTTATTAACTAACACTTGTTTTGTATGTTTTAGTTCACACACAAATATTCTTTGGGAAGAGGAATTTTGCTATGTTCTATTTCTGAAGTTTTTTTTATCACCGCTATTTTATATTTTTCCGCGCATTGACTATCATCGTTTAGAAAACAAGAGTTCGTGCTATACGATTAGGTGGTAAATACATTGGATTTTACTTCTATATCATCATAGAGAAATGGGATTTTGTTATTAACTATGACTCCGTACGTAAATTTTAGCTTAGTTTTTTTTTTCAAAAAGTTGATTTCCGATTTATAAGTTTGTCCCTTATTTTTTATCAAGACAAAAATGTCGTCAACATAGCTTGTTTAGACATGTGGTTTGTCAGCTGTTTCAAAAACTTTGTTTTCAATACGAAGCATATAAAAAGTTAGAGAAAACAGGACCTAGCGAGTTTCCTATGCTGACGCCATTTGTTTCGATGTAGGCGTCTCCATTATGATCATAGAATGGGGCTTCAGTGGTAGAGGTGAGTAGTAGTTTCCGAAGAGTTTCTGGTCGAACATTGGGAGGAGGAGGAGGGATTGATGAGTGTTTGCAGATGCAGACGCTAATTATGTTGATTGTTTCTTGAAACGGGACGCGTTGATAAGAAGATTTTCAACATCGAGGAAGCAAGTGCCCTACTAGGATTCGTTAAAGGAAACACAATAATAAATAAAATACACCAAAATCAACTTCCTTGAAAATAGCTAAAAGAATTGTCCGAAAGTTCTTGGGACAATTCACGATATGAACAGCTTTTGTACTCGCTCACTACTAACAAAAGGAAAAATGTAAGCTCGCTAGAAAGATTAAATCTAAAAATTTCTTTGTCCGTCATATTTAACGAAATATTTAAAGTAAAATTTTCAGCATTACCTTTCCTTTCTTCACAAGTGTAG